ATTTCAAAAAGTTTATTCTTTTTTTTCCTTATGCCGTAAGTTAGGCTATATTTTTTGAATAGCATTATACTATAAATTTAAACAAAAATAAAAAACAATGTTATCCACTTAAATCGAATAACTTTATGTTTTAAAATATACACACTATAAATTTACCAACCAGTAGTACAATTATTATGTAATTTTTCAGAAAAAACAAACATTATATTTATAAAATATAACCAACACTTAATAATTTTATCAGTAAATATTTTAAATCCCCATAATCCCCAACGCCTACCCCTATCCCCAACCACCCCCCTTTTTTGGCTATTTTTTAAACGGCCCCGACCATAATACTTAAAAAAAGTTAAGTTATATAAGTAAGTAGGAACCAAACCCAACCCCAAACCCAAACCCAACCCCAAACCCATCTTAATTTAATTTAGGTGCATAATAATTTTAATTTCTTGTCTTTTATCTAACTTTAAAGTAAAATTATAATAAACGCAAGACAAACATTGAAAACAGAGTCACCTTCTACTTGATTTTTGAATTTAAGGTTATGAGTCCTGTTTTAAATTCGTTTGAATAAAATATAGAAATTTAACTTCTTTTTAAATATTTCACATCAAAAGACAACTTACATACTCTCTAACTTATCAAATATATAAATTATAGAAGATAAATTCCTTATGAGAATGCTGTGGATTTAAGAGCTAAAACATAATGAAAACAACATCATTATACATATCAAATTTGAATAGTTAAAAGCTTAACAAAGTCAAAGTATTCCCCACTTAGATTATGTAAACTCTTATGCTTAAGCAGTAAAAGATGAAATTTGTTTATTAGCCACTGGTGTCATTTTTGTAAATAATCAATGTTTTGATTAAAATTTTTATTTGTAAGGATAACAGAATCTTCTTCTAAAGAAGGGAAAGCTTTGTTTTTAATGTTTTCTGATTCTTAACCTATTTGTTTTTATTAGTCTTAATCTTCCTATTATTCAAAAGGAATAGCCGATGCCACATTTAAGAAATTATCAAAGCTATAGCCTATGATAGAGTATTCAAAATAATGTGTGTCATAAAATATTGAATACATAGCCTTAATGACTTATAAACTTAAAGATTTATCAATACGAATTTTAGATGGAGGAATGATTCTAATCAGAGAAATAATATCTCTTTCATCATAACCTTATTTAAAAATTACATCTATCAAATCATCATTAAGATCATATTTAATTCAAATCTAATCTATGCTTGTACTTGTGTGTTTAATATTATGCCATAGTTTCAAAACTTAAAATTAATTAATCTATTCTATTTCAGCAAACTCAGTTTAAATAATCTTATTTTTAAAGATCTTAAATTCATTTTATTTAAAATACTCGAAAATTTATTATTAATTTAATTGATTTATATTTTATTCTCATTAATCAAGGTTTCAATTGTTAATTTTAGCAAAATATCTTTTTAGTAACAAAAAGAAATTCATATCTTATTTGGAAAATTGATATGGTTAAAATTTAGAAATAATTAACTGATTTTTAATTCAAGATTTAAACACAAATGTTTTCTAATACAAGGTAATAAAATTGTAAAGACTTAGCAAGAAAATCAAGGGGTAACTAAAAATTAATACCTTCATTAAGTAGATAAATAGAAATAGAATAATAATCATAAAAAATGATTCAAAAATATTCTTAGTTAAAATTAAATATTTTTTAAATATTGCAAGAAATTTAATAATTATCTGATTATATTTATGACTTGATATTAACTTTTATTCAATTTTTAGTGAATTCATCTTATTCAATCAGATCAAAATATAATTTTTTGATACCTAACCTACCTGATTTTACACTTTGAATTCTTGAACTATAAGAACTCAAATAGTAACCTGTCATAATTTGTTTAGAGTTTAGTTTTGAGAAATAAATTAAATGATTCTTTAATATAATAATATTCTTCTTCAATTTCTATTCCCTTAGTTTTTATTTTTCTACTTTCTATTTTAGAAGGAAATGGAATTAATTCAAAAAGAAGAATTTATATTTTTTCTCATAACTTCTTAAAATCCCAAAAATAAATGGGTTTCAAAGTTTAATGAAACATAATAAAAATTTGAAGAATAATAGAGAGGAACTCATTAATATTTTATTCACTAATGTATTTGATTTTAGCTAAAAATATTAATATTGAACAAATTTGACTACTATATAAATCTAAAGTATTATATTTTTAAATAATAAATGGTTAATGAAATGGAGCCAAAATTTGATATACTAATAAGCACAATCCAATTAATGATGCTTTTAAAACAATATCAGTTTCAAAATTCGTCATTATAACAATTATAATTGTTTTCTTGAATAATTTTATAAGTTCCCAATAATATTTTTAATATTCGCATTCATTTAATAAATAATGAATATGCTTTCTAATCTTAATTTTGTCAAAGCGAGATTTATTTACAATCAAAAGAATAAATATCAAGATAGGAATAAACCCACCTATTAAAACAATCCAGGAATGCACTATACATATATGTTTTTAATTATGCAGGATTAATAAGGATGTATAATATAATTACAATTAATAGATTTTCATCATTGATTTCCAAACGAGAAGTATCCAATAACTATTACATTTAGGGTAATGTATCCTAGATATATGGATCTTAAGATTATTAGTTGTGGATGTATTCTTTTATCATGTATTTGAAAGCTCATATCATATTTCTGTTTATTGATTAATCAATACAATATTGATCCAGATGTTGTGAAAATAAAGAGGATAATTATAATGATTAACATTGTCAATATTTTCAAATAAACAATAGGGATTTATTCAATAGAAGATATTTAGCAATCAAAATCTGTTACAATAAAATAAGAGGTTCTAATATTAAATGTAAAAATGACACTAAATATCCATATATAATTTATCAACATTTTTAATTAGATGCTCTCTTGATCTAAAATTTATTTAATATTGTTAAACTTAATTTAGTTTAAATAGTATTTTACTAAATTTTGAAGCAATTATTAGTGATTTATATAATGAGTTAGACCTAGTGATACTTCTTAATGACATTGATATCGATATTAACGTCCTATAGTTATTTAAAATATTATACCAAAGACAGGCTATTAAAAATGGTAATATATTACTCCATTAGTTTTTAAAATAATTTCCATGACCCCTAATATTATATATATAACATTCTTCGCATAAGGCTCCTATATGGCCTAAATTACATGTATAATGGGATACCTATCTGCCATTACAAAATAAAGGATTCTTGAAACAAGGTTCCACAAGATCACAAAAATTATTAGGTCTCCAAAATCCTGGACTTCTATAAAGTTTAAATTGAAAATTATGAAGCTTTATTTTTATTTAATTAGTACAGTTTATTAAATATGAATAAGAGAAATTATTATTTTCTATAATTGTGTTAAATAAATTTAGATATTTTTATTTTTCGGAATAACTGATAAAAAAACTAAAAATTGATGAGTTTCTTAAGATAGATTAATCTAAAATAAAGTATTTTAAAGATATAATAGATTCAATTTTAGATAATGTAAATAATGCTGATTCTATAAATGTACAATTTTTTAATTTATAAATTTGTTATTTAAATTATTCCCTCAAATTAATATAATTATAAATTAAATAATGAAGAATTGATAAAGGTAGTATTTTATATGGTAACATTATTTAAAATGATATTTCTAAAAATTTCTGCTATAAATAAAGATTTCATATTCTTTAATAAACTTTAGTAAAATTGGTAAGTATCAAATTTATTTTATACTTACCATTTTAGAATATAAAGTATTAGTCTGAATCAATCACAAAACCTATATTGCTAATTTCGATTTGATTGAATAAATACAGAAAGATTGGCCTAAATATATAATCTTTGATAGTGAGAAAATTTATAAAAAAATAATAAAATATGTGAATATTTAATTCTAAATTTTATGTAAAATTAAAATCAATAATAAGGAGTGTAGAGACTAGGATTAATAAATTGAGAAGTTGATAATATTAATCGATACTAAGATTAAAATTATAAGTATAAATATTTTATCAAAAAATGATTAACTTTTGAAGCAAAATGCAATTATGGAAGAAATATTAAAAAAATTATTTAAATAATTCAGCTATTAGTTCCTTTTCTTATAGTTCTTATTCCATTTACTTTCTTCAATATTATAACTTCTAAAATAATGACTTAAGTTTGGTCATTTCTATGCTGTAAATTTATTCTACTTCAAATTCTTGTTCTGATACATCGGGAAGATATTCAGAAATATATCTGAATAGCTAGAGTATTTTTATTTAGAGGTATCAATTTTTTTGAACAATATTCTAGGATTTGATAAATGAGTACGATTCTTATTTCTTTATTAAAAAATTATTAATATCTTTTACTAATGAGTCCAATGAAGCGATAGTGAATTAGAATAATAGAAAGTAATTCGAATGGATCGTAATTCTTTCTCAAATTGACTCTCAATTAAGAATTCTTTTCAAAGTGTATCAAGTTTTTGAGATTAATAACTTAGTATTATAGGGAATTAAGTTGAAATTTATTAAATAACTTTGAGGCAGTAGAAATTAACTAAATTTATTTATATCTAATTTTTTTATAATATAAACCATTATTGTTGCAATTAATATAGTTTTATGTCTAATGGGATTAAATTTTGTAGAAGAAATTATGGAATCTCATAGAGTTATACTTCATATCTTGTATCATATTTCCCTGTTCCTTATTCCATTCTTCTGGCTAAGAAAATGTGAATTCAATTTTTTGGTAGAAAAGGAGCTGATTGTATATTTATCAACATACTATTTGATATCTATAATATTAGACTCAATAAATCCTTTCTTAAGAAATTATTTTTCCAGCCATACATGTTTTTTTTTAAATTTTATAATTTATATTTAAGAGTTATTATTCATATTAAAAATATAGGAATTAAGAAACAAAATTTAAGAAGACTTAAGTCTGGCAACAATTTAACCTATTTAAAACTACTTATGAAGAAATTTTATTTTTATCAGTAGACATAAATTAATTAATTCTCATAATTTATTTGTTTTTTTAATATACGTTATGATATAAGATTTTGATAGTTTACTATTCTTCATTTCTCTATAGCTGTTTAAATTGTTCAATATCAAATGCACTATCTTTAAAGTAACTTACTCACGCACCCCTTTAATCTAGAAAAACAATTTATTTTAAGGCCTTTAGTATGCAAATCTTGATCCTTGATGATCATTAGAATTCTTAGTTTCTGTATTTATTGAGGATTGAAACAACACAAATGTTTTATTATTATTTTAGATTATATCTGAAATTCACAAAAATTAAAATGTTTAATTGAATACATTTATCACTCATTCAATTTAATTTGAATACTAAATATTAGATCGATATGTTGAAGAAACTTTCCAATTTCAACAAGGTTTTTTTTTGAAAATAAATTCTCCCTTGTATAAATATTTAAAAATTAAAATTTTTTGTATGTTCTCAAATAACATATAAAAAAGAGTTATTATTTAATTATAAAAATTATTAAATTTAAATCGTTTTTTTAATTCTTATACTTGAATCCAGATTTTTATACAATCATGATTATATGATTACGAAATTATTAATATTAAAGAGTCTTATGAACATGAAATCAATTTATTTTATTATTTGTTAAGACCTAATGAAAAGACACTATAAGTATGAGCAATTATGTTTTATTAACACAACCATGTTTTCCATTTCATCCAAAATTTAATTATTGATAACCCCTAATATTCATCATATCATAATTGTTTAACAATAAACAATTAATAATAATGGAATGATCATTTAATTTTTATATGTAATTCCATTAATTATTCTTATTCATCTCCCATATTATTATCGAATTATCCCCGTTTCTATAAATAAAATTGATAATCTTTTTATGAAATTTAAAGTATAAACATCAGATTTATGCTCGTTGAAGATGAATATTTGATTCAGTTTCCCTTATAAATGCCGATATACTATTAAATGTTTAACTTAATATCTTTCACATTAGTTAATTTTATGTTAATTTATTATCTCAAAGCTGATTTTAGTATTTTAGTTCAAAGGTACTTATGCATCTTTGTTGCTCTAGCTTAAATGAGTTAAGTTATTCCATAGGCATGTTAATCTTATTCTTCAAATTTGCTTAGCTCTTAAATTTTTATTAATTTTATGAGCAATCGATTTAATTTATTGAAATGACGATTTCAGTTAGATAAATAATGTTTCCTCATAAGTTTTCAAATTTGCATTTATAACATCTATCATTAAGCTCATAGTTACCATTACCACATTATTATTACATTATTCAGTGGATAGTTTAGCAATTTGATTGTCTCCATACTTTTAAAAACTTTTATTATCCAAGCTTAATGCACATATACCAAATTAACAATCATAACAAAAACCCCATTCATTATCACAAGCATTTCTATCAAAAAAATAATCATCATTTTGATAATTTTGATTATCAAAACAATTATTACAAATTAATAAATAAGGAATATCTTGAATACCTAACCATATTATAGGAATATTTTGATCTTAGATCAGCCAATCAGCCATAATTTTGATCTTGAGTATTGATCTGATATGATAATATTAGTGGATGATTAAATGATATACAAACATTTAAATTGCAATATCAATATCAAATAAAAAAATAAAAATTTAATTCAAAAAGATAAAAGAATTTTTTAAATACTATAATTAAATAAAAATTCATAATTTTCGTTATTTTTATTTGAAACATCAAAAAAGGCTCAAACATTTTATTCTCCAGTATATTTTACTAATTTGGAATATTCAGTCTCTTTAGTAATATTTTTTTGTTAAATAGTAATTAACGTGCGATTTGAAAATTATCTTTTTAAGGTATGTTAAATGAAATTGTATGTTTCGTATCAAAATTAGCATATGCCTCATCTAATACAATAATTTTGTTTAATCTAATATTATTCTATCTAAGCAAATTATTTGTTTTTAACTTACAGAAAAAACAGAATTAAAATCACTCATATCAGTTAAAATACCATTTTACAAAAATTTTANTAGTATTTTAGTTCAAAGGTACTTATGCATCTTTGTTGCTCTAGCTTAAATGAGTTAAGTTATTCCATAGGCATGTTAATCTTATTCTTCAAATTTGCTTAGCTCTTAAATTTTTATTAATTTTATGAGCAATCGATTTAATTTATTGAAATGACGATTTCAGTTAGATAAATAATGTTTCCTCATAAGTTTTCAAATTTGCATTTATAACATCTATCATTAAGCTCATAGTTACCATTACCACATTATTATTACATTATTCAGTGGATAGTTTAGCAATTTGATTGTCTCCATACTTTTAAAAACTTTTATTATCCAAGCTTAATGCACATATACCAAATTAACAATCATAACAAAAACCCCATTCATTATCACAAGCATTTCTATCAAAAAAATAATCATCATTTTGATAATTTTGATTATCAAAACAATTATTACAAATTAATAAATAAGGAATATCTTGAATACCTAACCATATTATAGGAATATTTTGATCTTAGATCAGCCAATCAGCCATAATTTTGATCTTGAGTATTGATCTGATATGATAATATTAGTGGATGATTAAATGATATACAAACATTTAAATTGCAATATCAATATCAAATAAAAAAATAAAAATTTAATTCAAAAAGATAAAAGAATTTTTTAAATACTATAATTAAATAAAAATTCATAATTTTCGTTATTTTTATTTGAAACATCAAAAAAGGCTCAAACATTTTATTCTCCAGTATATTTTACTAATTTGGAATATTCAGTCTCTTTAGTAATATTTTTTTGTTAAATAGTAATTAACGTGCGATTTGAAAATTATCTTTTTAAGGTATGTTAAATGAAATTGTATGTTTCGTATCAAAATTAGCATATGCCTCATCTAATACAATAATTTTGTTTAATCTAATATTATTCTATCTAAGCAAATTATTTGTTTTTAACTTACAGAAAAAACAGAATTAAAATCACTCATATCAGTTAAAATACCATTTTACAAAAATTTTACATGATTTATAAGATTAACTTGTTGTAAATTTCCTTCTGATAAGTTTATAAGTTGTATGTCCACTGATTTTAAACATGATAAAGGTTCTATAGCATTTTATATAATACTCTTCAAAGAGATAGCTCTTTAAGGGTATAATCAATAACTCCTATGGTAAAAGGATTTTTGGATTATGATGTGTTACAATAGTTTAATCCTTAATTTATACTTCTACAATGCCTTAGAAGTATTCCCTAATTTTTAATTTTGATTTTAATTATCAGAATGAAATTTAATTATTTTTTTATATATTTATTTTAATTCATAACAAATTGCAATATAGAATATCTTATTTCAAGAAAATATCTAAAAAGGAAAGAATTTAAGGATTGAAATTTATTAATAGTAGATGGTAAAAAGTGATAATTTACTTTAACTTTAAAAAAATCTTTCTTCTTAATTGTTTTAGGGAATTGAAATAAGTATTTTCTTATTGAACAGAATCTGTTATTTGAAACCTTAAAATATTTATATTTCATATCTCTCTTAATTTATTTATCAATTAATATCAATTTTTCTTCTTCTAATAATTTATTAATAATTATAAGTAATAATTAATATAATTATTTATATTTGAGAGCATAAAATTATTTTTAATAATTCTTGTAAATTATTAAAGTAAAATAAAATCAAACTGTGCGTTCTTTATTTATTTCGAAAGTAAGATTTTAATTGTTAATATTGATTTTTTATGATTTATTTTCTCTATAAAAGCCTGAAAAATTTAAAAATAATGGAATTTACCTCTAATGATAGTATGAGTCTAATTAATAATTCCAAAAAGGGACATTTTTTAACCAATAACATACATAAAAAAAAGTTTTGTAAAAAAAATTCTTCTCCTTTTATAATATGGTTCTTTGTTAAATTATTTATGTTGTTTTTAATGGTGAATATAAATTAAAAATATATATTTGATTGTCCTACCTATAAAATAATTACTTGAAAATAAATGCACATAATTCTATCAAAATCGCAACCATCATCAGAAAAAAATATCGTTTTTATGATTTACATATAGTATTACAACTAAATTACTACATCCTTTTTCTAAGCAGTATTCTAAGAAGGATTTATTTATAAATATTGTTTATGCGCAAAAACTAATTGGAAATCGAATTATATAAAACTTCCCTTTTTAGAAAAATGTAGGAATGGCATAATAATGTAAGCGTCTCCTATCACTTCTAAAGTTACAGAATTATTGATTCCTGAAATAAAAAACTGAATAATATCTTTATTTTTGAATACAGAGTATTAGGGTTTATATTTATCGAAGCAATTAGAGTTTATAAATAAGTATCAAAGTATTGAAAACCTAAATTAAATTTTAATCATTAAAAATCGCAATGTTATGTAATATCATATGATGAGTTATTCCTTTCCCTTCCTTATCAATCTGTAAAATTGTAGAATATGCCAACAAACTATACCAACTTTAATGAATTCCAACCTAATCAAAAAAATGACAATTTTTTATTATGCCTTTAGATTTAGAACTTTCAGATCTTTAATGAGTTTATGAATCTTTAATTTTCTTCTACGCTATAGAGGATTAAAGAATTTCTGAATTATAAAGAGCCTCTTGTGCCATTTTACAAAGGAAACTCTCAAAATAGTTCAAATATTATTAGCAAGAGCATCATTATAATATAATGCTCAATTAATTTAATAGCATATAGATAAGTGAAAAAATGCAATTGAATGTTGGGATTTAGAAATTAAAAAAACCTGAATAAAAGAGTTTTTTATGGTTGGATAGGTAAAAATTAAGGTCATCCTAATTGCATAAGCTTTAATAATTATAGTTCTTAATTTTTCCCCTAAGGCCTATTTGAAATATAAGAATTAATATTACAATTCAATTATAATATAATTTATAAATGTAGTTTAATAAATAAATTTAATTATGATAATAAACAAAATTATATTAATTAAAAAATAAAATAATTATTGTGAACAGGTTCATAAAGACTGTTGATTAATATCGTCTTATAAACTTTTAATCATTACTAATCAATAACATCATATTAAATTTTTTAAAATGATATTATAATATAAAAATTTATTATGAGAAACAAATAAACTGAAATAGCTTCAATAAATATGAGTTGTAATTTATACAAAAGAAATTGTGATCTTATTTCTGGATGCAGTGTTATCAATTCAAAAAATATTAACTAAATTTTGTGCCAATCATGTGTTGAAGCTTTATAAGAACAACTTAAAGTAAATGCGGAATAGATGAGTGAAATTTTGCAAGAATACTAATAGACAAAAGCATTCTTCGTATCAAATAATTTAGTCGAAATAGTTTCTAATTCAATTTTTATTAAAACTCTTGATATTTCAGAGCCTCTAAAAAATTTACTTAAAAATTCTAAAGAATTTCAATACAATAGAAATTTAACTAAGCAAGATTTTTACAATTATTGTCAATAAAGAGTTCTTTATAAATAATTATTTGAAGATCAATTACTTAAAAAAAAAATTGATAACGCATCCAAGGATTTCAAAAGCATTTTAAAATAATATTTTTATGATTAAGAAGAAATTCCTGTTTTATTTATTTAAATTTCAAAATACTAATATCGCATACCTTATTTTAAGGTTTTATCACATTATTTCCTAATTTTAAAATATAAAATTGAATCAGAATAAAATTTGACTATCAACAATAGAGAAATAGAGGAAGATATAATAAGTGAAGAATATTATCCTGATATTTTAATTTCAATTTATGACTTAAGAAGCAAAGAAATCATTTATGATGATATTTTAGAAGAAACTTATGATCTAGGGGGTTTGTAGGAAAATCAAATTGCCTCTTATTTACTAGAATCAAAAAAAATTATTTATGTGGGTATAAGAAAGACTTATTATTAAATTAATTTAAACCCTATATAATCGCCAATAGAGATAAAACCCTTTATAAGATTTTAAGTAATTGGTGATTACCTCATTTATATTGAATCAAAAAGTTTACTAAAATATGACGTAAATAATTATGAGGTAATTTAGAGATAAGATAGATTTAGTAAGAATTTGTTAGAGAAGGAAAATTATTATGATTAGAAAATCAATTCTTTTATCAGATATCATTTTCCATAGAGCAATTACAATGAAAATTTAGAAGTTATACAATTATATACATTAAAATGCACAAAAAGAATTATTTTTGCAAATTACGGAAAATATTTCTATTAACTCTTTTTTTCTCGATTTTAATATAAATACATTGAGAAAAATAGAACAATTGTGATTATTCATCAATTCTCTGAAGATTAATAATTTTTTATTCTTTAAAATTTGATAACAAGTAAAATTATTAGAAAAATACCACTTTCATCTAAACACCTCATTAAAAACTGCTTTCTTTTAAAAAACTAGACCTTGATATGTTTAGAATATGAATCAGATTAAGTAGAAATATATCAAATGTCTACAGGAAGATAGATTCTTAGCTTTGAGTATTTATAAATATATCCAATCATGTAAGATGAATAGCTTGCGATAAGTTTTTAAGAAGATGATATAAAAATATTTAAATTAGCCAAATGATTGTTAAATTTTAATAAATATATCAATATTAATTATATCTCACTTATTTATTTAATAAGATAATTGGATTTTTAGCAAATCTTATTGATACATAAATGATTTTTGTATATTCACAGAAATTAATTTGAGAATATTATCTAAGTTTCTTATCTAACCTTACCCCTCCTTTTCATTCGAGCACATTTAAATATCATAACCAAATTAAGTTAAAATATTAAAGTATAATCTTCATATTCAGATACAAAATCAATACAAAAATTAGAAAAATAATAAATTTACTAATTATAAACATTATTCTAATCATCTAATCCTTAACGATTAAAAGATTCTAATTAAATCTTTTTAAAGTATTTTAATGAGCAGATAGTTAAATTTAAATAATTTTGCAACCTCCAAAAAATGAGTGCAATATATATTTTATGAATGTCGATTAATTAAATAGGAAAGGCAATATATTAGCTTCTAATTAAATTTAGATTAATAAAACTAATTGGGTAATTACAAAAACATTCAAGAGCTGATCCTTCATTTTCTTTTAGAAGTGATCATATATTAAAAAGTATATCCCCTTAAGTTTTTCTTTATTTTAATAATCTTTATTTAAGAAATGCTTATGTATCTATTTCCTAAAACAAAAAATTGCTCATTAAAATATAAGCTTGAGTTAAAAAATCTAAACGCTATATTTATTTAATAAAATCACTGTTTTTTCTATATTAACCAATTTACTAAATAAGATATGCATGAATTGTAAGTTATTATTATTTTTTTTTTATCTCTATCTCTATCTTCAGAAAATTTCCTAAGTTAAACAATATTCTGGATTCAATTTTTTCAGCCAGAAAGAATTTTTAGTATGTTAGTATTCATTTTTTTACATTATTGCACTCCTAATTCTGTTGTTCTAAAAAATTAATAAAATAAATTATCAGTATTTTTTGTGGCATCTAATACTATGTCAAATTTTTTATTCATTTTCATAATTACAGGGTAATCGTTTTCAGGAAAGAGTTCATTTCCTGTACATCTTCACTTTTCTGATGTATAAATTACCAAATTTCTCGTGCAACATATCCCTTGATGTACCACATCTAGGGATATGATAGACGTCTTAATTTTATTGAGTGGATCAACTATATTTAGATTTTATAGTAATTAATGTTATTTAAATATAAATATTTTCGGCTTCAAATCCCTATGCATGATTTCCTAAGAATGCATATAATCAATTGATTAGAGTACTTATTAAATTTGATTAAACTAAACATCATTTTAATTAACTAAATATTAATTCATATCTTTCTTCTTTCTATAGCATTTTCTTGTTAAAACATTTAGATGCAAATTGAAATTAATCTTCTTTTTTTGTGATTCAATATACCTGAAATTAATGAAAGCAATCGTTAAGAAGTAACAAAAGAGAATTAGAAGAATAGAAACTGATTATATCCTTTTACATAATTTTACATTGTATTAAATCTTTAATTTATTACAATTCTTTAGTTATAGTAGAAAATATTTTATTTTATCCTTGTAAAAGAATCCAAACAATACAATTTTTTGCTATCCAATAACTCTTCGATGTTAAGCCTAGTTATACTAAATATTTTGGGTTTTGTTGTTTTGAATTCTCAGAATACTGGTATTTAAATGATTATATATAAAGAATGAAAAAATGAAGTTGGATTGTTTAATCTTAACTATCTAAGTATTTTACCAGCAGGAAAATTAACAATAGATGTATATCCATCTTTGGAAGAGCAATTATGGATTTTAAAGTTAATTCTTTCTAGATTATTATTTAATGATATTTATAATTATTAATAAGAATTTTATTTGATTGAGAAATAAAGTATTTTTATTAACTTTTAATTTAGGGTAACCATCTCTTTCATTTATTTAATTTAAGTTTACTTAAAATCAGTTTGTTTTCAAATTCTTAAGACTTTTGAATAAGCTATGATTTTTATCTATTTGATGTAATTTATAGAAAAAGAATTGCCAAATAGAATAAAACTTGTTATCTTGTATTAATACTTCATACAATTTCAATTCCATATATATTTTTATTTCATTATTTCTAATATTTCCCATCAATAAACTACAATAAATTCATTCTTTTAAATGGAAAAAAAATTTAGATTAATTCGGCATCAAGAAGTATTTGATTTATTTACTCAAAATTGATTTTTTTTTGATGAAGTTAAAAAAACCATATATGTTGAATTCATTCTTTTTTTTGAACTATATGAGTTATTTTAAATAATCAGCTTTTATGAAAATTAATTATATATTTCTTTGGATAATGTATCTACTTTAAAATATAAACTAAAGAACTTAGTATTATTTTTAATAAAGCATATTTATTCACTTTTTGCTGATTGACTCCTCATTATCATTAATTTGAAAGATACTTTCTCAAATGCAAATTCTAAAATATTAGAAATAAATAACTTACATAAATTGTTATCTCTTATTTTTAGAGAAAAAAGAAAAAAATTTTCCCAAGAGTATTTAAAACCATTTATAATTATATTTAATAAAAAATAATAAAATTATAAATTAAATTTCAAATAAAAATATAATTGTATATGAAAAAAATCATGATTTAATTATTCAGCATCTTTTTTTGAAATTGTCTTATTGTCTAATTGTACTTTCTAGACTATATAGTGAAACTTTCTTCCGCTTTTTCTACTCTTCTGAAGAGGATTTTAATTCATCTAAAATATATAGAATAATAATAAATACCTTTAAAATCTTCTTCTTTCTGACTTTGACCTTGAATAATTATTGAATTTTTTTTGAATTCGTTGATTAAATAGTTGATATCATCCATCTATATATCAAATTCTTTGAAAAGAAATTATTTTAATTAGTATCCTTCATCAAAACCCTTGTTTGCTGCTTCATCTTTTAAAACATTAATAAATATAATTTCATCTTTCGTATCGATATTAGAATGTTCTAATATTTGAATATATTCTTCTAAAGTTAGAATTAAACATTGATAAAAGGAGGGGGTTAAATTAATTTTAGTTTATTCATTTGGAACGGCTGAATAAATTTCCAAAAAATCTGTTTACTTGATGACTTACCTTATAATTTATTGTAAAATAACTTAATTTTTATTAGTAATTTATCTACATAAGAAGATTATAAGTCTTTCTTGAGGCCCAATAAAATTAGGCTTAACGTTTTCTGAATCAATATCATTCTTAAACTCTTGTATTTATTTTTCATTAATTGGCTTATAATTCATAAATTTAACACTGTTAGTGGATATTTGAATCAATGAGTTATCAAATAATTATTAACTACCCATGATTTAAGGATTTAAAATTGAACCTTTATCTTTAAGTATTTGAAAGCATACACCAAAATAAATCTCCAAAGCTTTTTCAAAAGTATACAGGGATTAAGCCGAAGAATTGATATAGATCTTAATTATACAACTCATTCTTTCAAGATTTTCATTTTGTTTTCTAAACTTACAATCAAACCAAACAAATAATAATTGAGCAATCCAAACATAAGGCTTTTATAATTTATTATTAATTAGTAAATTACCAAAACCTTTAATTGCTGTTAATTAAACGACGGAATTATGATTGAAAATGTAATTCACTATTATTTACAAAATCTTCCATTTTTCATACTATTTTGAATCATATACCCAAACTAGATCTTCATGATAGACCGAAAAGGAATCCAATATACTTCTTAATGCTATAATTACAATTATAGGATCATATTATGATTATTCATATGGGTTTTGTAAAAATTTAGCAAATTTCGGAATAACACTACCATCAATGTTCATTCCAAATAAGGGAATATAGGCCAAACATCGATAAGATAGTCTCTTAGCTAAGCAGTTTTCAAAAGGTAAATAGTTTTTATTCATTTAGACAATAATATTCTTTAATTTAATGAATTTACAATCTTGAACTTTGTTGAAATCCAACTAATTTATTAAAGCATCTAATAAATATAAACTATGCAAATCAATTTGTTAATTAAATTCCTTCAGTTAATCTAATTCATTAAATATTGATAATAAAGATTAATCTAATTCCTTCAATACTGATTGATTCAACTCTAGTGTTTTATGATCATATTTCTTTTATTTCATTAGTTATAGTATTTCATTTCTAAGTTTCTCTCTTTAATCTCCTTTTTCTTTAATTGTTTTATCCAAATTTTATATCTTTTCCATAACATTTCTTTTCTATAGTTTTTCAAAAACATTTAGAACAAGGTCAATAAAATGATCCTATGATTATACCAATAATTTAATGACTTTCATTGCGGGTATCAGTAATTCATACCAACTTTTAACTAATTAAATTTAGTATGAATGTTAGGCAAACCATTAAAATTCAATTTCCTAATTAGTTTTGAATTCATAAATATCATTATATTTCTAACATTATATTTTTGGGCATTCCAATTATTTGTATTCACTAATAAACTCAACCAATTAATCTAATAAAATATTTTATTCTATTTTGTTCTCCGATTTTTATAATTATAACTCAGCAATTTAAAATATTTCATTGTATTATAGCAAATCTAAATCATAATCTAATATATATGCTATCTATTTTGAACTGGGATAATTCTATTCTATTATTTAATTCATTTATGACATTAATTAAGTTTATTCCTAAGAATTATCATTCATCTTACAGACAACTTTTAAAAATGTCATTTCAGCTCCACTTGTCCTATGACTTAGATTCTTTAATGTATCCTAGAAATATATTAATAAGTTTTCTTGATGAGATGATTCAATTATTATTTTTAAGACATCTTGAATAGTAGAATATAATTAAGGAAATATTAATGTTTTTTCGATTTCAAATAAATTTACAAAGTTTCTTACTACTTATTAAATGCATTTATTTTGTTTTTTCTTTTCATTCTTTATCATCAATTATTCAAAAGAATATTAAATATAGAAATGACATTATTCTATAACTTTCTTATTATTACCTTTTAAACCATCATAAATCACTTAATATCTATCCAAAATATTTAATTATTAAATATTTAGATTATTTTTTATAAGTTTAGTCAATACTTGTAATCTTATGTTCACATCTATATCTCGAAGTCTAAGCAGTATATACTACAATGTGAATTCATTTACATCAGTATTAATTAAAGCATCAAGCCTTAATTCCTTCTTCTCCTCTTCTAAAATAGTCTTTACCATCTATATTTGTAAAGCTTATATTGCTTATTTCAATTATTTTGATTTTCCTTCTTCCCAAGTAATATTTTGTAAATATGATCCAAGTTTTATTGCCAATCCTTTTTAAGTTCTTCCAACATCTTTTCTTCCTTTCTTCAAAAACAATCCCACTGTGATATTCAATAATTCATAAGATATCTTATCATCAAATAACTTATTATATAATTTCTCTGAAATGTTATGTAAAATCCTGAATAGATGTCTTCCACATAATATTCTTGTATAATAATTTTGAGAATCAACTCCTTAGGCAAATAGTTTTATCATGTAAAGAATAAACCTATATGATTAATATTTCTTATACATTCTAAGATCTCCAACCTATTTACAGTTCTTACATGGTTTCTTTGATTATTATTTCCATCTATTTATCATGAAACCCAAAAATTATTATGTCAAGCTTTCAAATAAAACTCTACATTATTTTGAAGTTCCACTACACTTTTTAATTAATTATAAATAGCACTATTCCAACTATTTTGTGAACTTCCTATAAATTATTTGAATTTTATTACTTCGAATCACTTAAAAAGTTTGCATGTAAATTGTGAATATGTGATTTAGTTACCTCACCATACTCAGCAATATCATTCAGAATCTATTTAACATCCATTATAATTAAAAATATATAAAACTCATACGTGACTAAGAAGGTCATTAACATGGATAAAATATATCATCCATTTATTAAGTTTCTATTTTTTTGGATTTAATTAAACTTCAAAATAGTATATAACAATATTATGGCATCAGAAATATTGTCCAAAACACATTTAATATATTATTAGGATTTCTAATAAGAGAGGGTAATATAACAATGAATAATTATTTCAATTCATTTCAAAAAATATATCAATTCAATTAGAAAATTTTAGTATTTCCAAAATTTATTCCACTTATTTAGGTATCAATGCATTTTATTTTATCAAATAAAATTGATTAAATAGAATCAAAGATTGCCTAAATAATTTTACTTACACTTTATTAATGGAACACTAGCTTAGCTCTAAAGCTATTTATAAAAAAATAATTTTATATTTAATTCAATATATTCTAACAATAATTATTACTTTTTGTATGATATTTACATAATTAAAACATAAAATTTAATTTATTAATTTTGTCTTTATAAGAGAGGGGCTGTTTTTTTCCCAAATTATTGATATTCATTTAAAATATAAATATAATAACTAATATATTAATAAACTAATAAAAGGTTAATATTGGGAATGATAATATAAAATAATGTCGTTATTAGTTATAGATTGACTGTTATCCTATTATTGATAGTAATGTATAATCGAATAGCAATCAATCAATTAATGATTTTAAGTAATTTAATAGACAATTAATAATAATAAAATATTGTTATTTGATTAAACTAAATTATTTATTTTTTTAATAAATATTGATATAAAACACATGAAAAGAAATAAATATTTAATTTAAAAATAAAGCTCAAAATTTTGAATTGAAGATAATAACAATAAAACTTTCTATATAAAATATGAAGATTATATCGTATAGATGCTATAATTTAATTAAATAAGATTACTTTAAAAATCATCTTAAAAATAGCAAAGCTTCCTAGATAAAATAATAATTTTTATTTTCCTAAAGTTGGAATATCATCGTTTGTGCTTTTCAAAATTATTCCATGGTTTATATAGTTATATGCAAAGTTTGTCTCGATGTAATTTAGTTCAACATATAGAAAAAAAGAAAAAATAATAAAGATGCCATGGATAGGTTATTCGTTTATTTTTAATAAAAATCCTCCATTTTATCTTCTCAATTTTATTATTAAATAGTTTTTTCTTCATATGAAATTATTAGTATATCTTACAAGAAAGATATCACTAAACTAGAGACATTTACATGAAATTGAAAAAGTTATTTTATCAATCTCTTCTACTTATAGATCACAAAGAAATGAGTTTATCACAAGACAATAATAATAATTTAATAGCTACTCAGATACTTCTTCTTAACAATATCAACATTAGGCCATATAAACTAAAGTTAATTCATTGTTAAATATATCATATAAACAAATAAAATTATTTTAACTTCTTGGTACCTCGTGCATTAATTTCAAATGTAATATTTCTTGTTAATTAAAAATTTAACAGAACATCAAAGATGTTTTAAGAGAATACACATGCAACTCTTGATGTTAGAGTATAATTTTAATTGTATTAGAAAATAATTTTTAATTAGTTATTTCAGAGTATTTAACTCTTGATGGTCTAGAATTAGATTCATTTCTATAAACTTCAACTAAAGATACTTAATATCAAGAATTATCGATTTAGGGAATGGTTGTTGTTTTACAACACTCTTTTTTTTATTTAAAATTGTAATACAATAGTTTCAATAGTATAATGATAAGGTTTTGCAATCCAAAGAATGGTTGTTTATTATTAAGAATGAGTTTAAACTTATATTAATAGAATGGATTTTTATTAAATAAAATTTTGAAATTCTCCAAAATAAGTTATGTTTGATTTTTTAAGCAATATTTATAATGGGATAGATAGTTTTAAGTTTTAGAGATTATTTAATGAATTGACAAAACTTCCAAGATTTCCATTTCCATTTTATCCATCCCCTGAAAAAGTTCATTTAATTCCAATTAATTATCTGAGACCATCAAAAATTATAGATTTGATTGGTATAGTATTATCATCACAAGGATTTAAAAAATAAGTAGACAAATTATAAAAGATTTAGGAGAAACTGGATTAATAGGAATTTTAACTTACTAAAGAATAAATATTTTTATTTTTTAGACTCAATTTAGATTGTCAAAATATTATCAATAAAATATAATTTAAACTCCTGGTATAATAAAAACATATTATCCTACTTCTATGATTAATATCATATAAATAAGTTTACTATAGAGTCGTTATGATCTACAAAACAATTTGGACTTTTCCCAATTTCAAATAAATATTATCTTGATATTAATAAGTGAAAAAAACAGGGGTTTAATGGAAAATCAAGAACACAAGGAGTTTTAGTATGAATGACAGAATGAGGGGGTTCTTTAACAAGCCATTTCAGATGTCAAAATTCTATCTCAAATGTAAGAAAGACAACCATCAATATTACTAGTCTTACATAATCGATCACAAACTTAACAAAAATCATTTTAAAAATCATCATAAAATCCATCAGGGTAAGAGCACGATGGAATAATTTAACGACTCCTTTTCCAATTAAACAATTCAAAGAAGATAATGAACATGTTTTACATTAAAAACTACATTCTTAAAGTATTTAATAAATAATACATAGACATAAAGGTTGTCCTCTTTCAAAATATCCATGTAACAAACATTTTTATTTATATCTTCCTTCTCTACAAGTTAAACAATTAGAACTAGGCTTTTCGCAAGTATTACATTAATTTTCATAAACTAAAAAGTTACTAAAGAATTAATTACCTTCACAATGAAAAGATTAATTTCATAAAAACCTGCTGAAGATTGTGAGAAAAGTTTACATCTAACACTGAAGTTCTAACAATCAAGTTAAAGATCATCATCCTCATAATATGACAAATAATTGTAAAACTAATAATTCTATGCTAAGATGTAAAAAAAATGCATTAAATGTGAGTAATAAGTTTGTTATTTTTGAAACTCTACAAGAATTCTCCATTTTCATCTTAAAAGAATCCAGTTGAGCAAGGACATTTTTTAATTGCTGAGAGATCAACTCTATTTTAATTAATATCACAACTGGTACATAAATCTTTTTTACCTTAATATGTGAGACAAAAATTCTAACATTCTTAAAATATCATTAATAAATAGTTTCGCTTAATGGAAAACTATTATCCTAGTATCCTGTCTTATAAATACATAAATTAGAATTAAATATCTAAATTACTCTATTTTATAACAAGAGTAACATTTAGTAGAACTAATCTAACATGTTTTAAATAGTTTATTGCATAATAAACACATTTCTATTCCAGCACCATAATATCCGTCCAAACAGATGCTTGCATATGAATTATTTAGGATAAATTGCTTCACATGTTTTACATTTCATCGCTTAATTGATTCAAGTTTTACAAGTTATATTATATGCGATTATTTACAACAAATTTGATCAATGAACATTTCCTTTAATTCACTTCAAAATATTCATCTTTACATAGAAATTGTAAGTTTTCTGAATCTATGTGTCTAGTTATAGATTCGCATTCATTACACTAAGTAAGATTTTGGCATTCTTTACATGTGATATTACAAGCTAATTTAAAATAATAATTGAACATTTACCTTCACAAATTTTAGAAGTTGAATTTAAGTAAAAACCTGATGATCATACACATTTATTTTTGAAATCTAGACTAAGATTCATTTTGGAATCACAAGATTAACAATTTTTTGATGTAACCTAACAAGCTAAACAAGAAAATTTGCATTGTTTATAAGTAAAAGTCACTAAATCTTCAAAATAACCTTCTTAGCAAATGCAAATGTTTCCTGTTTTAAAGATTCGATATTTACCTGTTGAACGTGATGTACAATAATTTTCTTAATTTATACATGTCAAACAAGTAGCATTACAAAGCTAACATTCTTTATCAACACCTGTTTCATAAGTGCCTTCAATACATTAACATTTATTACTTATAAGTAATTTAAAATTTTTCCAGGATGAACAATTACAAATAGCATTTATAAATTTTAAACAGTTTATATCGCTAATTTAACATACACCATTTATATCTGTAGTTCCAATCATACAAATACAAGTTTGAGTTTTATTATCAAATTCTCTCAATAATATTGAATTACATTCAATGCAATTTTTGAGATTTAATTTACAATTTATGCATTTTTAATTCAAGCATATAATCAAAATAACTTGCACCAAAGATACATTTATTTTCTTCTAAATGTTTAGTAGATATACAAGTAATACAATAATCATCTGCATTTTAATATGTCGAATAAATAATTGAACATTTTTATGATTTATTAAGTTTCCATCATCATACATTTGTTTGTGTTGAATAATTAAAATTTAAACAAAAATAATGATAATATAAATAATTAAAAATAATACTTTACCAAATAGAATTACCAAGATTTTAATAAGTAGTAATGAGAGCTCCTGATAATTTATTTTAACATAAAGAAGTGTTTCCCTCTAAATATCAATCTGATTACAAGAAAGACAATTATCTGGAGTATTATTACAATTTAAAAAGTAAGGACTATATTTTAAAAAGTAAAATAATTAATTACATTGGCATTCTAATTATCAAGAATCATAATAATTGATTAAACTTAAATATAGGAATAGATCATTTAATATTCTGTTGATTTTAGTATTACAAGTTAAGCATTAATTAGATAATGATCCATTGCATGTTGAACATGTTTAACGACAGGCTAAAGATAATAGTTTAGTATCTTATGCATATAGGATTATTAGGCTAATCATACGATTTAAGTGGACAAGCACAAGATTAATTAGTACCAAATTCTCGATTGGATGTCACAATACAATTGTTACATCGAATATGAAAATTCTATATTATTGTTTTTAAATTAATACTATGACTTATAGGATCACAAATTTGTAATTTCATTAATTAGCCTTAACAAATTTATGGTTACAGTAGAATATATGTATTGTAAAGAAAAGATGTTAAAGAAATGTAGGAGCATTTTATTAAGAACTATTGAGATTCTTAAAGCCGCTTGATTGCTAGAATTTACCTCTAAATAACCATTAGGGTATATCTAGTTTCAAAATTAATACCCTAAACAACCTTCGACTGAAAATTCAAATCTTTTAATTTGTAGTAATTTCTTTATTAACCTAAAAAGGAACCGTTGTGATTATAATGGTATATAGGCATTCTGATTTCTTAAGAAGAATTTATATTCCAAATAAACTATAATATCATTTTTAGATAATCTTAAAACTTTGAGGGATTTGCAGTTGAAAAATGACTTAACATTACTTTCCTTTCTGACAAAGATTGCTCTAAAAAAAATTATCTCTAATGGCAAGATCCTTATTGATAGGTCGAACAATATAAAAGTTTAATTTTTTTATAAGAACTATCACTATTTATAAATTTTTCTTCATCAAAAAAAATAACAAAGAATATTTGGCGAAGTACCAGATTATAAATTTTTTATTTTTAGTTATAGAATGTATGTACCCATCAATAATAAAATTAATAATCATAAACAAATTTAAAAGTAATTTAAAAATTAATTTCATCTCTTTCCAATTATGTCAAATACTAATACATATTCTAATTTAAGATAAAATATTTGAAGAATAAAGATATAACAGATTTATTTATTTTTAGTGATTTTTATTTTTTTTATTGAATAAAAAATAAAAAAATAATTGAATAAACCGGTTATTAATCAAATCTTTTTAATTACAAATTAATGATGATCTACATTATATGAAAATATTAAAGAATATTCTTTTCATTTTCATCATATTTACAAGTGGTCCATAATTATTTCCACTTCTAAATTATAATCTTTCTATTGTTCTTATAAATTTATTTGTTTTGAAAAAATCTCCTCAAAAATATTATTCTCGAACAAAACTAATGAGTAGGATTTTTGTTTAAAATAAATTCTAAAACAAAAATATTCTATATTAAAATTTATTGGTTCATACTATAAAATTTATTTTCTTAAATTTGAATCTGAAGTGAATTTATTCGAAAATTGAATTTAGAATAAGTTAGCTATTTGTATAAAAACCTTTTAAATACTAAAAAATATTGATTTACAAAATTAATATCCAATTTTCCTTTTAAATTTCTTTAAATAATCTTTAATAACAAATGAATTAGGACAGGATCTACCTTTTTTATTTAATTGTTTTATTATAAAATTAATGTTTATTATCAATCTTTAAATAAATTAAAATAATTCAATTACTATAAAATCATCATCATAAACTTTAGCTTTCTTAATATTAAAATATTTGTAATTATTTTATTTTATCATCCCATGATACCATAAACTCGCCATCATCTGTTAATCTACCAAAAAGAGAATTTGTTCCAAAGTTTATAAATTATTCTAATTAAAATTCTTCTGTTGAGTTTATCCTTATAACATTGACATGATGTCCATTTTTACTTAACAAAATCTATTTTTTTTTTATAAATTATTATGGAAAATATGGATAACAATCTTTTCCATTTTAAACTTCAAGCTCTTTAATTTTATTAAATAAATTTGTTGACTTATTTAATTCATAAAAATATATTTTTTGCGAAAGGACAGGTTAAACAACAAATAATTCATCATTTATAAAACATAATCTATGACCTTTTTGATTTATCTTTTAGACAATTATCCATTCTTTTTTTTAATTTTATTAACTTATTATTATTTAATTTTCATCATAAGCACAAGAAATCAATTAGGTTTAGCTATTATTTAAACTTATACTTCTTATTGAATTTTAGTGACTTTCTAATGTTTAGGAACATTACCAGGATTTTTCTTTACTCCAAAATTTGATACTTTTATCATCACTTCCAGATATAATTAAGTCTTCATTTGTGTTCAATAATAAACACAAAATATAATCTTTATGTCCAATTAATTTTTATTAAATTTACCATAAATTCAAATTATCTATCTTCCAAATTATAATACTATTATCATTACTACCAGATATAAATGAATGTTATTTATTCATAAACTATAGACATCCAACATGGCTCTTATGTTCATAAAGTGTTTGTTTTAAGTTCATTTATCCTTATTTAAAATCGAATACTTTAATTGACCCATACATATACCCAGCAATAATTATTGAGGAGTCTTTATTGAAGCATATTGAATAACATTTATCATTTTCTTTTATAGAATTAACTACTTGATATTAAAAAGGTTGTATTCTAAATTTATCATCTTCAGGACACTTAATAAGTTCTTCAATTTAAGTTTTAAAAGATTAAAGTAAAGCTTCTGTATTTTCGGAGGCCAGTTTAATTAATTTTTATTTATCCTTAGAGAAATTGATGAGTTTACAGATAGTTTCATTCATTTATTTGATGTTCATTTTCTACCATTATTCATTTGTGATTGAGTATTAAAATCGTAAATTTTCCTTTAATTGATTAAATATTCGGTTGATTTTTCCATTTAGAAGATTAAGTAAATTTATCAATTCATTACACTCATTAGATGTATCTGATAATATATTAAATACATAAGGGATTTGTCTTAAATCCTCTTAATGGGCAATGTGCAAATTTTTTTGAATACACTAAAAGCAACCTAATCTTGATTCTGAACAACTTTCATTAAAACAAGCAAAAGAAATCATTTCATTGTGGTTTGGAATTGAACATGAGATCGGAATTTAATTCATCAAAATAATTATTAATTAATATTTCTATATAGATTTTTATTTTATATATAATTTATTAAAAATTTTTTATATATTTTATACTTAAAAATTCAATTTTCTGATGAGGAATATAATCATAAAATTAACTAGAAAAAATTCATTTTAATAAATAAGTATGCCAATGAACTAGATTCTTTTTTGATAATATCAATATTTAAAAAAGGGCAAAAAAAAATTAATCTAAGCTTTTCTAATCTCTGCATGTATATAATAAAAAATAATTAAAAGGTTTAGAAAGGATAGAGTATCATGTGAAATTTATAATATAGAAAAAATCCAACCAATCAAATTTAATAAAACAAATAATGAATAGATAAAAAATAAAAAGAAGAAAAAATCTTTATTAATAAATAGGGTATAAATCAAACAGCTTTTGTAATTCTCAAATCATTTAAATTTTACATTCCGATTATTGTTACATTACAAAAAAGGATTTTTGAATCATAGTTATAAAAATAACACTCTTAAAGTCGCCATTAATGTATACTACTTAAAATTTTAAACTAAAAGGAAAAGTACTCAACATAGTTTTAGAAGCTAAACAATATTATTGAGAAAATGATTTAAAGATTAAATTATTTTGATTAACCAAAATAAAATACATTATAAATTTTATCGATAGAAATATTAATTTAGAATTATATAATAAACTTTAAAACGATTACTAAATTATTTGAAGACTGCTTACATAATAGAATTAGAAATATTCATAAAATAAAAAACATGATCTTATGTAGTAAATTGTAAAAAGCCATCTAAAGTCAACCATCTCAATTAGAAGAAAATTTACACAAACCAATTTTTAATATACAGGTTGTAATTTCAGAATAAATATTTCTCATTAACATCCTAACAATAGCGTGGAAATTTTAAAAACCGAATTGATGATAAATAATACAAATTTTTTGTTTCAATCAATAGAAATTAATTAAAATTTAATTAAATACTCAATTTAGAGAATCTTTAAAGGAATACAATATAAATATTTTGTTCACAAATGGATTAATAAATTAAAACTAAAATAATAATGATTAAAAATTTTAAAAAAATTTCAATTCATGAAATTGCTTTAACTAAATCTTTTTAGTTCATATAAATTTAGATCATCTTTGAAAGATAATTAACAATTATTATCTGAAAAATAGATAATTATTTTATTCAAGTTTGTCTTGATTTTATTGGTTGATTTAAGACTTCAAAAATATTTTTTTCTCCAAATAGCCTTTCATTAAAATAAAAAATTAAAGAGATGGCTGCTTAAAGAATAAAGAAGAATTAAACGATATCAATTTTTTATATTTCAATTTTCTAAAGATTTTAAAAGCCACCATATTTAAATACAATTAGATACTCCTTCCTTGATTATCAAATATTTTCCATCATCACTTATCAATCCTATGGAAATAACTTTTTTTAAAACAATTTTTAGATATATTTTATTTCTAACTGTTTATTATACCCATTTCTCTTTTTAGTGTCACATACTCCTCAAATCTAATTATAAAAAGATTATTTCCCTTTTTAATAGTCAAATATTTACTGTTTTTTACTAAACATGGAAGTTCTCTAATTTTGTCTACAACTTCCTCGCCTAAATTATTCAAACTTTGTATTGTCCCTCTAATTTTAATTGATATAAATCAAGAGTATTATTGTTATTTGATTAAAATATAAATATATCTTCTTTAATAAAATTAACTCCTGAATCCTCAAACTAATTTACATCTATTTTTTGTTTGAGAAACCCAATGTTTTCATATTTATTCTTTCGATAATCAAAATAAATGAATCTCTATCATAACAATAATTTGAGATCCTGTTCTATTTATTAATAAGCTTAGTACTTGATTTTTCAGTTCTCTTCTCAGTGAATGTTTTCCATTAAAATTTTGAGTTTTGCTTCTCAGAAGTTTTTTCAATTAACAAATTTTTATCCTGTTTCCATTGTTATCTGATACTATTAAATCTTCATCTAAAGGAATTTGAAAATTAGTTTTCAATTCTGTATGGCCTTACAATTTTTGAGTTAAAAAATTTTAGTTTGCTAATTGAAGAAATTATTCTAATTAATTTCCATTTTTCTATAGAGAGTCAGCATGTTCAATTAAAAGTTAAAACTTATTTCATCGAATCTTACTTAAATTCAAATATTTTAATTTATTTATCACTTCCATCAACCACTATTGTACAATCTTTATTAATAGCAATCGCTTAACACAATTCATTTTATTCAATTCAATATTAATCCGTAATTTAATAATTGAATGGTTTCAGATTTGTTTAATGAGTTTATTCAAGTGATTGATGTTATTATATAGTTTATAGATTTCTAGATTATTTAATATGCTTAATAATACTTTTTTGAATATTATTATTGATTAAGGATTCAACTTCTTAAATGAGTTAATTATCAATTTATCATTTTAGAAATTAAATTAACAGGTGGATTCAAATTTCAGGGTATCCAAAAATTATTATGAAGGTATCTATTTTTATTTTAAGTAATCAGTTTACTCATTAAATATATCATCAAGTACTCCTTCTTTTAATTGTATGATTTCTATTAAATTAATTAAATAAAACCTTTACCTCTACTTATTATTACTTTCTTAAAATCTTTTACACTTTTTTTATATGTTGTAAAAAATACCAAATTCAACAAATTGGTTATAAGATACAACTTCATGCAACTTCTGAGACATAAAACTAAAGGAAATAATACAATCTAAAAGTTCTTGGTTTTTGAATATCGATTACTCAAGCTTCTATTTTGTAGGCTCCATAGGAGGATTAAATGTAGTTTTGTATTTATACAAAAAAATTTAGTTATAAACTCTTTATGATTTTAATAATAATCAATTCTTTTTTATAATTGAGGTAATTTCCTTTCCAAAAATATACTTCCTCCAGATTTTAAAAGTTGTTTTAAATCATAACCTCAATGATTCACAAATTCTCCTTAAAGAATGAGAGCTACTTTTGCTTGAAATAATAGTGATTAGGATATAAGAAGGATATTTTGATATTAGGTACCTAAATATATATCAACAATTAATACTCTATGGTATCTATTTTTATTCCTTTAGTATTTCTCTTCTCTAATCAATGTCAGTTAGAGAGATATGTAATTTAGAATGATGAATGTATAATTTATTTATTTGGGTAATTTTAGTATAATAAACGATATATTTAATATTCTTTAACTTAGTCCTAATTATATTTGAATTAAAATTATGAGTTAATTTTATTGGGAAAAACAAATTTATAGAAGGTTGTTTAGTTTGTTCAAATATTAATAATTGTGATTAATGTTACTCAAATTATTATAAAGATATTGAAAATAAATGCTAATTAAGTAAAATTTGTAAAAGTTACACAGAATTTAGAGATGTCATCTATTGTGTTATTTGTAAAGAGAAGTAAATATAGTGATTGCAACTTGCCTTCCATAAGAAAAGAATTTTGATAACTGCAATGAAAAATAAGACTTTAATTATTGCTAAGATCTCCTTATTAATACTATATTTCTTTAAATGGTATTAATTGCAATATTTGCTCTATAGATAGTTGTTTATATTTTTTTGAATATTTTTTTAAACATCAACGTTTAAACAAATTAATTAGATATTTAATTTTTAACTTTTAATTCAAATTTTCCTTAAGTTAATTTAGGTTGTGCTTTATGCTAAATTAATGATGAGTTTGCTCTAATCTTAAAGTTTAATTTAGAACAGAAATGTTATTATTCTAATATCTTAAAAGGTGTAATCTTTGTCTAAATATTTGTAAAAATGTATTTAATAAAATAAAAAATATCAAGATTATTAGAAATGGAATATTGAATCATTTTATAATTTCTTTCTTAATACTAATAATCATGAATATTTTTTAAATGTATTTAAGGTAGTCTTAAAGGATTTTTGAAATATTATTAATTAATGGTAGATCTTATTATATTTAATGCCAGAGAGTAGCTTGTATTTTTGATTTAATAATATGCTCAATCAATAAATAACATCTTTAAAAACCTTTATTAATTTAAATCAGATTATTCTTTCAAATGAATGTAATTATAAGCCTAAACTTATCAAAAAATTAAACAATACATTTAGGAAAGAAATAATATTACTCATATTTATTTTATAGCATAAATAAAAATTATCACTCCAAGATGATTTATTTATCAGATATAAGGTAAATACAATTCACATGTATAAAATTAAAAGGATCTTATAATAAAAAGAGTAAGTAAAAATGAGAATTAATTTATCAGTCATGGCTAATTCTAATTTTTCTCTTAAAGGTTCTCTTCAGAATCATAAGCTGGAATTACTAAGAATTTTTAACTTTGTAAAATACTATAGGATTATACCATGTATATGCTTTCTAGTAATTTACAATTGATATCAGTTATTTAAATTCAGATTGGTTTTGTTAAATTTTTAAATCCTCCAGCTAGTGTAAGGTCTGTTCCTAAAGATGCTTTAATATATTACCGGTAACAAAATTTACAAACTTAGCAAGCATATCTTAATTGAAAGTTCTTAATATGTTTTGAAGCCATTTAATATCCTCAAAAACTGTATCCATGTTGACATAGATTGTAATTACTTCAGGCCGTCTATTGGTTAAAATGAGATCTATTAAAGGATCAATTTTATTTCTTAAATATACTTTCTTAACTACAAAATTGATTATATTTGGATGAAATTAAAGAAGATATTCCACTAAACTTTTTTTTTTGATTTATTATTTTGTCTTCTTGTATATTAAAAAGTATTTTATATTTCAATTTATTCTATTATAATGCTATTGATATAATCTTTACCATTTTAGCTAAGTTTTTTGAATAATTTTTTAAAGACAAAATCATTATGATGTGATGAAGAACTTGATAATTCCATTCAAGATAATTTTGTAATTTCATAACTTTAGATTTCATTTTAATTAATAATTTCATTACAAATCAAAAAAGATTCAAAATAATAATAAAAATGAGTTAAATCCTTAAACTTATTAAAACTAAATGATAGTTATAATTTTTTCCATATTTATCCATAATTATTGGTGTTCAGGCTACTTCAAAAACTCAAGGCATTTATTTTCTTAAGAAGAGTTTCAAATTGTCAATTTAATATAAATAAGTTGTTAAATAAGTTAAAAAATTTTTTTAATTCCATTTTCTAAATTTCTATTTAATCATTTGTATTTCTTTCTAGTAAGTATTTTACTAAATTCTATAAGAATTATTTTAAATAGTTCGATATTTTACTTTAAATCTTATGAAATTGTTTTGATTTTTCAAAAGAATTGATAGAAACTTAATGAGTTTATATTTATTTTTCTCTTTCATTAATAGATTGAATAAATCATGAATTTGATTAAAAATTTTCTTTTATTAATTTTTTATGCAGTTTGAGAGCACTTATATTAGCTATTCTAAATCAATTTCTTCAAGTTTAAATAATAATTAATTCATTGTTTCAAAATTTTAAGATGATAAACAACATTTTGGAGCTTTTTCGACTTTTAATAGAGTAAATAAAAATTTTTGGTGAAATAAACTTTGAGCAAATTACTTGTTAAATAAAAATTTCTTGGTCAAAATCTTATTATTTTATCATTTTCAAATTATTAATAAGATAATCAATTATTTAATTAACCATTAAAGATGAAGTACATAAATTCATCAAAATAAAATTTATATAATTATCCTAAAGTCAAAAATATCATCTACCAACAAAAATTTAATTATAAGTTATAAAAATTATTGATCAACTAAACCTAATAATATTAGGGACTGTTTTCTTATATTCAGTCCACATTTTATCCTATTTTTAATTTTAGAATATGTTTATTGCTAATTTAAATCTTCTAATTAATTTTAGAACAATTCATTTTCTTATTAGATGAATAATTGGAATTATTCATCAATCTCATATGTTTTATAAGCAATATTTACTATTTAATCCATTTAGTATAAATATATTGCATCCTAGCAAAATATATTATTAGAATAAATAGGTAGTTCATTTTATTATGGCAATTTTGATTAGAATATTATTAATATTTCTTAAAATTAGAAAGGTAGTTGTTATATATTTAAATCTATATTAAAATATCCAGAATTCAAAAGAAATTAATCTGATTTAACATCCATGGTATGTTTGTGGTGATATACTAATCCTCTAAATTATTTGAATTGAAATTTTTTGTTACTTAATCATTTTCATCTACCCAATTTATTGATACTTATTCTAAAGCTGCAGCACAAATTTAATGAGAGTTTTCATAATCTTCAATTATTATTATTTATTTATCAAACGGAATTTCTTATACTTCTTCTATCTAAAAGTTTTCATAAAATTCTCCTTTTTTTAATTATTAATAGTGGTCATTTTTAAGAAACAAGATTACTTATATTTGGATTCCGTATCACTCTCTCTTGAAAATGTGACATTAAGTTTTAAAATATCTATTTTTTGGATTTTTCTGAGTTATTTAGAAAGAATCAACTTTAATTGATTCAGTTTTATCTAAAATTAAATTGATAGCAATGCTATAAAGTATATTCAGAGCCTTCTAATGAAAAATAATTAATTTAAAAAAAAAATATTATTTAATATCGAAGCTTTTGATTCCATCTACGTAAGTTTAATAAAATTAAATGAGTTAAAAGGCTCGTTAATATTTTTTAAATACAAGTTTTTGTAACGGATTTTATTCATAATAAATTCATTAAAAATATCAGAATACCGACATAATTTTAAATCTTGAATATATTTATTAATCTCAACAAATAGTATACTGGTTAAAACCATATAGGATATGTATTTTAATTTAAGTAATTTTGCTATTACAAATCTTAATTAGTTTTTTGGATTTCATTATTTTGTTCTTAATTAAAAAAGTATTTTCTTTATTTGTGTTTAAATTAGATTCTGATCAAAGTCTAATCATAAATTATAGCCATAACTAATTTTGACAGACTTAAAAATTGATATTAAAATTCTTCTTTCAATTTAAGTAACGTCTCCAAACCATTTATTTAACAATTAAATAGATTTATATGTTATCTTTCATTTTAGAAAAGTCTTACTAAAATATCCATATAAATTTTTGAAGTTGTATGATTATAAGCATTAGAGTCAAGGCAGCATTTTATGTAAGTCAACAAATTAAAAATCTTTAATTACATTTTAGTTAAGTTCATTTATTTACAGGAAATTTTGAAGATTTTAAAAAAGATTTTAAATGTAATTTGATAATGGTATTTCTGGTTTATTCTGGCTTTGAAAGGAATCCTGTTTTGATAAAAATTCTATATTTTACAATCTCAATAAGTGGGGAAAAGTGTTAATCCTGTATATTTAATAGATTTCTTGATGTCGAATTATCATAAATTATTATAATTTTCTCTAAAATAAATATTTTACTAAAACTTTAGTTTCAATCTCTCTATCTAGAGTTGTTTTTTGAACCTAGTTTTGACATAAATATTCATTACTTTCCTCTAATTATGTTGGTTGATAATATTCTAAATCAAATTATAAAGCTTAGATTGGATAACTAATAATCGTTTTATATGTTGGATCTTAATAATAAAAATCAATCAATTCTATTTTTATAGAAGCCAAAGAATTAACATGATCATATAATATTTTCTAGAAATAAAGAATTCTTAAAGTTAAATTTTTTAGAGGTGAATATCAAAGTACTCTAATATAAATAAAACTTATTCATTAATAAGTAATTATTATTGAATTACTTGGATTGAATTTTTATTTCCGTTAATTCTTTGATAAAAATCAAAACTTCAGAGCAGTCATACCAGGAGTTATTTTAGATCTTTCTGACTACATTTTCTAAGTTTTCATCAATGTTATTCAGCAAATTTAGCAGAAAAGAAGTTTTAACAACATCATCTATAACTTTTTTATATTCTAAAGTTTTTTATTTCTTTCATGTTAAAAGAATCGATTCAGATTTTCATCTAATTATATTTCTTTTATTACTTATACATCTATTTCAGAGTACTCTAATCCTGAAAATTAATACTTCATAAATTTAATAAGGATTTTTTTAAGTCATCAATAAAGCTCTTAAGTCTATTTTCCCTTAAATATATACACTTTTTTTTAATATTAAAGGAAAATAATTAGTTCAAACTTTGAGAAGAAATAATTCGATTAGATGGCAAAATAATAGGTTATAGGCTAAATCTCTATAAATAATAATCAGTTGGTTGATTTCATTGTAAGTCTACTTTGATTAATATATAGAGAATCTCTTTAATATATATATTAAGAAAACAATCTTTTAGATAATGTAGTTCATTAAGATCAAGGTTATAATCAATATTGTGTTAGAAATAATTTCACAAAATAATAGTAAGCTGTGCTTTTATACCTTAATATATTTATTAATTCTTTTCTACTAATTAATAATATGTTGATTGTAGCATTTATTGAAAGTATACAAAAATAAAAAGAATGACATAATTTTAAAAGCAGGTGAATGAATTGTAAATTTGAATATTTATTATGCATTATTTAAATTTAACTATTTTTATCGAAGAAGACTAACTAAAATTAAATTGATGTAATTATAAATATCTTTTAGTTTTTGTAAATCAAGAATTTCCTGAAGTACAACATTTAATTATTATTTGTAAAATAAATATTTCTATATTATTTATTTATAAAATATAGGTAAGGAAAAATTCAAAATATTTTGTAATATTAGTTAGTTAGTGAATTATTATTCTCATGAAAAATATATCAATTTAATACTTTATAAATTAACTGTGTTAATTTAGATATCTCAAAGAAGGATAAATAGAAAATGGGCTCATTTAAAATAATTATAATTAAAAGTCCCTTAAACTAAATAATAATCAGGTTTATAAGAACTAAATCTTTGAAATGAAAATGAAATATTGTTATAAGCTTGCTATCATAAAATATCCATAAAAACAGAGGGGGTAAATTTTGAAGAATTAATTTAATAGATATCAATTTTGTCAATAATTAATCTCACAGTTATTATATAAAATGAGGAATAAAAAAAATTTGAGTTTTGATGACATTTAATGTATTAAATGATGTATTATTATGAATTAAATTTGTTTTATTAAAAAAATTAATACCATTTTTTATTTTAATAGAAATAGGTTTTATACAAAGGAAATTATTTATTAAATTCTTTATTTAAGAAGAAATCCAATATGGAAAATAATTAAGACTTTGGAAAAATAATGATTGAGGGTGTGACCTATTAAAAGTTAGAGAAACTTGGTGAAGGGACAGAAGGAAATGTTTATAAGGGACAAAATATTGAAACCAAAGAAATTGTGGCAATTAAAGAATACAAAACAATAAATAGCAATGAATTAAAAGCCATTTAATCAATTCGTTAAAATAACTTCAGCCATATAATTAAAATTAAAGGATTATAAAATTATTAAAATAAATGTCCAAAAATTGTCATGGAATTTGCAGATGGTGAATTCTATAAATTTATGTAAACAAATTATTACTCTAGTTTGGATTATTAATAAAGAAATTAATATTTCCTTTAAGTAATTATTTATATGATTATATAAGATGGTATAAGGAGTTAACTAACTTCATTAATCGGGATTATTTCACAGAGATTTAAAACCTGAAAACTTTGTATATTTTAATTAGCCCAACAATTAAAAAATCATTAAATTAATTGACTTTGGTTTAGTGAAAGAAAATGCAAATTAGATGGCCAAAACTAGTTGTGTTGGAACATCATATTACATAGCTCCAGAAGTGTTATAGAGTAATTCAAATTCAGCCACATTTTATGATAAATCAGTCGACATATGGTCTTTGGGAATCATTTGGTATGAAATATTAGTAGGAAATACATTCTTTAATGGTAATTACAACTTATAATCTAGGTACAACAATATAAGACATATTAAATTAAATCTTAAATAAATCACAAGTTGAAATTGATAAATAAATTCAACTAAACCCAATATTATAATAAAAAGAAAAAAATTTAATTAAGGAGATGCTTAAAAAAAATTCAATACAAAGATTGAAATTGGTAAAAATTATTGAATCTTATAATTAATTTAATTAATAGACATAATAGACTCAATTAGACTTTTAAGATAATAAGTAATTAACAAAAGAGATAGAAGAATTGTATATAAAACATGAAAGGATTTAAGAAGAAACTAAAAAGGCAATGAAGGATGAGTTTGATCAAAAATTGCATAATATAGAATTAAAGAAGAAAGAAGAAATGGAACAAATGAAAAAATAAATAGAAAAGGAAAAAGATAAATTCATCTCTGAAAAATTAGAATAGTTTAAAAATATATAAAAAAATGAATTTGAACTATAAATTAAAGAAAAAGAAAATCAACTAAAAATCCAACAAGAATATGCTTTAAAATAGCAATAAGATAAGGAGTTATTAGCTTAAATGAAATTTTAATAAGAAATAGAATTTTAAAATGAAATGGAAAAATTTTTAAAAAGTAAAGAAGAAGAGTAAAATTAATACCTTCAATAGTTTAAACAAAAAGAAAATTAAAAAAAAGAAGAAGAAATTAAATAAATATTATTAAAATAGGAAATATAAATTAAGTAATAGTTAGAGTAAGAAATTATGACGAAATATATGCTTGATTATTCAAGAAAAGTTACTGAATTGGAAAATAAATAGTAATAAGAAAATTCATAATAATTATAAGACAAGAAATAATCATTGTAAATTCTATTATAATCTCATCAAAATACTATTAAATTGTTTATCTAAAACTTAAACTAAAAGTTATAAAACATCAAAAATATTGATTTATCAAATGATAAAAAAGATAAGTTAATATAATATATAAACAGTTAGCTATAAAACAATACAGAAAAATTCTAAAAAAATTCATAGAAATAATTATAAATATAATAAGTTTCTAAATAAGAGTAACTTAGAGGTTTAGAGAGTCAATAAGTTTTAGAGCTACAATAAGATATATAGGATTAAAATAATATAAATCTAATGATATCAGAATAACTTACGATACTCTAAAAGTAATTAGGAGATAAATAAAGGTTAGAGTAATAATAAAAAGAAGAATAGAAACTATAAGTATTAGAACTGCAACTAAATATTGAAAAATAAAACTTTTAAAATAATCTTTTCATTTTAAAATAGTAATATGATTCACGTTCAGGGGATCTTAATAAAATTTAGGAAAGAATTAACTTTTATTAAAGAATCCAATATTCAATTAAAGAGCAAGAAAAATTTCAATAAGTTGTAGGGCAGTATTCAAAATTGACTCAAGAATTGTTAGTTTTAGAAAAATAAGAATAAATTATTATTTCAATTGAGAAATCATAATAATTTATTACCTACTAATCTTTCAAAAGCAAGCTTGAAGACCTATAATCAGCTTAAAATAGAATGAAAAATTTGATTGATGAAATTAATGAATCTATTGAATAAATTGATTTCAAATTTTTAGAAGAACATTAAAGATATATTGATACCTAAACTGAGAATTTATTAGATTTCTAAGATAAATTTACATATCTATCTAAAAATAAACATTATGCTGAGAATATAAACTAAATAAATAATCAAATAGGAATTTGCTTTGAGTAATTAAAAGGTTTAAATTCATTATTAAAATATGAAATATTTTAAAATTATGAGAAGTTCAAGAAGACTTCTGATTCTATTAGTTAATAATTATAAGAATTAGAAAAATCGCATAATTTATTTATTGAATAAGAATATAATAATTAATAAATTCATTAAAGAAATGTTGAAAGAATAAAAAAATTAGAAGTTATTGAAGGTTACTTAAAGGATTTTATAAATAAAATGAATCATTTAAAAAATTAAGTTAGTAATTTTAGTAATAATTAATTTTGCAAAAATGAAACAAGGACTTTGATAATAGATAAATAACTTAAAATAGAATAAAATATACATTCAATTTAACAAGAATTTTAGGATTTCTAAAAATTTAATTAAATAACTTCCTGTGAAGCTATAAATGTTTAAATAATTTATTTAGAATAATTTTAAGAAAAATTAAAATAATAATTATTAAATGAATAAGATAAAGTAAATTAATTATATTTAGTAATTTAAAAAATTATGAACGAAAACAAAAGCGAATAAGAAAATGAATATTTTTAATTAAAGAATCAATTCTAATTAATATATATGCAATTTTTAAAAGAATTTATGTCTGCCAAAATTGACTAAGATAAAATTATTTATTTAGAATTAATAAATGGGAAAAAAGAAGAATTAAAAAAATAACTAGAATTAGAAATAGAAACCATAGATAAATACTGTGAAATTAACAAACATAATGAAATGCTATCGTAAGAATTGATAAGTATTATGAAAAGAAAGTAATAGGATTTTTACAATAATATTCCAGTATTACTCTATAAATTATAAGATCTTAATACAAAAAAAAATTAAAAATTAATTTAAGTACAATAAATAGCTCATAATAAATCGCATGAACTAAAATTTATACCTTTGGATAACAATCTTATTAATACTTATAAGTATTTATAATAATAAGAAGAATTCATATCATAAGAAATAAATGAAATCAGTTGTATAGAATAATAGTAACAACAAAATCCACAAGCTTTTATTGAATTAAAATAGAAAATGCAAACTATAATTTATCAATTAAATTAATTAATATAAAAAATTCCCTAGAATGATGAAGTTTAATAATTCAATAATATCTATAAAAACAACTAAGAATCTTATGAAAAATTATACGCTTTAATTAATTATTTAAAATAGTATCATTTAACGAGATATTATCAACGAATTAATGAAAATGCAAATTAATAAAAGTAGAATTTAAAGGAAAATAATTAAAGCGCAGCCTTATAATAAAAATTAAATTAAGAGATGGTAGAAAATACTAAAAAGGAGAATGAAGCTTAAAATTTATTAAAGATATATGAAAATATTTTGTTTCATTAGTACAATAACAAAATGATTGAAGAATTGCAAAAAGATTATGAGTAGATTTCAGAAAAAATTAAAGATGTTGAATATATGATAAAATAAAAATAATTAGTAAAACTGAGAAGTTCAATCAAAAATTAAAATAATATAAATGAGATTATAAACAATAAATAATATTATAAAATAGGTGAATTAGCATAAATTTTAGAACTTAATATATTACGGAAAAATAATTGAGTATATATTATTTAAATTATGATAACTAGTTGAAATTCTTAATTATAATCATTCAAATAAATTTTACTTATTTTATTCATTTATAATAGGTATTATTCTCTAACATTCAATAATAAATACTATTAATAATCTATTTGTGTGGTAAAACTATTTCTGAAGATATTCTTTGCTTTGAATTCCAGCTTTATTAAAATTTATTTATTCTCAATTTCTCCGAGGTATCAAAATCAAATATTTTTAATTATTATAATATAAAAGCACCTATCCATAACTTCCTTTCCCTATATGCATGATTTTCTCTATTCAACTTCTGAATTTATAAATATAAATTATTATCTTTAAAGAAAAAAGGTTAATATATAATTTGGTATTATTTATTAAGTTACCACTCATTAGATTAATGAATTTATTAAAAAATAAGAAAATATGATTTTGCACTTTCTGTAATAATTTATTCACTATTTTTATTCAGCTAATTAATTTATCTGTAGTTTATCTTTAGAGAATTATAATTAAAAAATTTAAACTCATTAATTGAAACAACTTTATTTATTTTTGCTCCTTATTCTATTTATTTGATATATATATATATGTGTATATGATTTTAGTATAACTTAAATTTGAATCACTAATTTGCTATTTTAGTTTTTCAAGAGAGGATTTACAATAATTTCTTAATTAATTCATTTATTTCACTTCATTAGAAGAGATTTTGAATAATAATGAAATATTCTTAAATTTAAGTTTGTATCTAATAGCGACTAAAAGTTAATCCTAAGAAGTATTCAAAATTTTAGTACATAATTTAATCTACTATTGCTTTAAAGTTTTGTATTATTTTTAGATATGAGAATATATTATAGTTTGAATAGTAAGTTAAAAAAGTTTAATAAAAATAAATATGTCTAAGCACGATCAAATACTTTAATAAAGTAATTGATAATTTTATTCCATCCTTAATTTTTACTTCTTTAACTATCCATATACCTTTTTTATTTATATTAAATAAAAATCTTCAAAGTGTTGTTACATTTTTTTTTAAATTGAGAATTTTAAATTTGAGAATACTTAGATAATACTGTTATCAAAAAGCATGCTTTATATAAATGTAAAATAATTTAAAAAAGATTTAATCTAAGTTCACATATATTTTATTTCTAGATGATAAAAAATTTTTTAAATATAATCAAATCATTAGAACAACATAATATTTAATAGCTAATCAATATATTTAGGATTTATTAATAAATTTATTTAGGATTATTTTGACATTTTGTAATAGAAAATTGTTCAAGTCTTAAAATCTCTTAGAAAAATGTTAATCGATGTATAAAGCAGTAACAGAATTCTTTAATTAAGATATTTGCTTAAAATTATCAACTGCCTTATATTTAGGTATATTTAATACAATAGGTCTTCCTTTAAGATTCCTATTTTGCATCATATGATCTAATTCATTTGTAATTAGAAAGTAAAATGAAGAACCTATGGTGATATATGAAAATTAAATTAGATATCTCTTAGCCTTAAGACTTTTAAGTAGCTTGTGCATTTTCTTATATTGATTTTATCTATCAGAAATTAAGCAAAGTCAAATTTTTTTTGTTTTAATTTAGTATTGCCCTTCTAATAATAAAGTCGATCAACCAAATTCTTATATGATTATTGAGTGCCAATAATTGAAAATAATGAATTTTACCAACTTAGTTTAATAGTTTTTATCTTTGAAAATTCATTTTCCAAATTCTTAAGAGCTGGATCAATTTCATATTTCATGGATTCATTAGTATCAAAGATGGCAACTAAAATTTTTCTCTTTCATCATTTTATGGTCTAATTTGTGATTTAAGAGATTCAGGAAGGAAATCAAATTCATCATTATGTTCACTAATTGCCATAGATTATTGAATTTCTTCATGTGCTAAAACTTTATTAATAAATTTGATTGCATCTAGGAGATAATGGTTTTTTTATTAATTTGACTTCATTAACTTCTTTCATCATAAGATTGAGTTTTTTAAAAAAAATCTTATGATTCTTCATCAACTTTGGCCAATATTAATCGTTCAAACACAGTAAAGTTCAATATAGATAGAATTATAAAATTCAATAAGTAATTAACTAACACCTTTAATAATTTCATTTTTATAAAACAAATTTTAATATTTTTTTAATTCATTAATAATGATCTCATTGGCCATTTGAATTTATGTACATTCATAAGTTAGTTGTTATTATTCAATTTATTTCATTTTAGCTGATGCTCTAGCTTAACATCCACACTAATTAAGGTTTTTTTTTTTGAGTTTTAAGAATGTTTTGAGGGTTTAAATTACTAAAATCCTCCTTTACTGATAATAATTAAGATATTATCTAAATTATTAAGCTTGAATCAGCTGCAGGGCTTGATAATGATGCTTATAATCCTATTAAAGTTTCAAGAGTGCATTAATCAATATCAACATCTCCTGCAAATTAATTCACAATTAATTAAGCATTCTTAAATTATATTTGAATTATTTATTCTTATTCTGTCAATTAATAGTATAAATTTTATTAATTATATTCTTCAACCCCTATATCTCTCCCAAATTTTTAAACTTCTTAAAACTTTTCTTCAATTCTTTCTTAAATTGCATTGTCTGGATCACCTCCAAAAATTATTATTGCTTATGATACAGAGTCAAAAACTATTTTTTTCTTATCAAATATATTGTTAGTAGGCTTTATTATTTAACCATTGATAGTGACTTCTATTTCAAATAAAAAGAATGCTCCAGCAAGCAATAAGTGTGTTGATTTTGAAACTAAAGTCAATTTTGCTTCTACATCTGTTTCAAACAAATCTTAATACATTTTAGTTTTGCTTTTATTTTATAAAAAACAGAGTCAAAAAAATCAAAGATTTCTTCATCTGTTCTTTTAGGATCTTTATTGTGGAGGTTCTATAAAATTTGTATTGTGAAGTAAATTTCTTAATTGATTAGATATAGTATTTGGAAACCAACTTCCTATTGAAATAGAAATAAATTATATTTAGAATTTTTTTTTAAACTTCTTCAATCATTCTTTAAATCTCTGTAAGATCAAACTTTTCATCACCATCATTTATAAAGATTATTGTTATATGTTGAGGAAAGTTTTCAGTCAACAATTTGTTAATTACATATTTGAACACATTCGTAATATAACCAGAATCTGCAGCTTCAAAAGGCTCGAAATCATGAACTTTCTCTGCGAATTGAATTTTCATTTACTTATCTTTAAGATCATCAAAACTATTTTTTATTTTTTTTTATGCCTTCAAAATTCCTTCATATTCAAAATTCGTAGAACTTGTACCATCCAATAAAGTAATAACGTAGAATTAAACTAAGCAGATTCAGGAGCTCTTCTGATAATTGGTTTCATTAATTAATACAGTTAGGAGTAAGAGAATGTGGCATTTAATTATATTTGTAATTCCATCATTTAATTAATTAATAATTATTTTATCATCAAATCTCAATGATATGCAATATTCAGAACAGAAACAACTAATA